TGTCTTGGTCAAGCGTGGGCTTTCATCTTCAGTCTAATTTATTCTGGTGAGTTCCTCTTACATATTGCAGTAGGCATTCTGATATCAACTTGGTTGAGTTGGGAGATGAAGCAGTCAAAGAAGATGATAGAGCTGTCCTATTGGAAGGAGGTGGTCTTCAATCAACATCGCCTAGAATCAGAAGTTCATCTGTGACATCTCAGTTTACTAGGTTTGAAACTCTATATTTACTCTAATCAGATGAAATGCCAGTTCATGGAACTCATGTAAGGTAAACACCTCAGGTTTTTCTTGATGGATGAAACTTTCTTGCTTGAAAATCGATTAACTCTGAGAGCAATGTAAGTGGCCTTTAATTATTTGAAGACTTAAGTTCCTGAAGACTATGGCTAAACTTGTTGTTTTTCATCTCCCCCATTTATCTACAGATCAGAGTTTGGTACCCTTTTGATTTACTTTTACATATCTGACCGTACAAATCTGTTTGGTGAATCAAAAAAGGTACGTTAAACCTTTTCTTTGTCTTTGTGTTTTCTTCATGAGCCATTGACATTGTTTATAATTATTAACCGAAGAAATATTGGAACATTCCTTTTGGGGTAAAAGCATGGGGAGAAGTTTAACTGTGCAGCATATGGACAATTGACTAATTTAGCTGGGATAGAAGAACCTTTCTTTCTTCTATCCTTTTTTATCTGTCGCAGCTCTTTGTTTTTTTTTTTGTTTTTTTTCTGTTTCCTCTTTTGCTACAGATTGACTTTTAAGGGCACGTATTTTTCAGTATTAGGATGGAAAAGTTGATGTTTTTCTCCTGAATACTGTTACAACACTGGAGCACCCTGTTATTGTGCTTACAATAATATGCATAAAAACTAAGTTGGCCCATGTTCTGTGCTATATCTGGATGAAGCATCTCTAGATCCTTTGACAATGTGGAGACACAAACTCAAGGATAACGAGTACATTCCTTCAAAATTAAGAAGCAAGTACAACTGATCAAAAATCCTTAGCTCTATTTTGTGTATTTTTTAATTAGTTGGAGATCATTTGCAACTTCGGATAGATTCCAAGGTTCTAGCCTTTAATGATCATTTATGTGCCGGAAACTGGTTATATGCAGTTGCTTGGTTCTAACTAGCTTTTGCCTCTTCTTTTGGTTGTCTTCACAGAGCTACAATCGTGATCTTTTCATCTTCCTATACTTCCTTCTCATCATTGTCTCAGCAATCACTTCTTTTAAGATCCACCATGATAAGTCTCCTTTCTCCGGAAAATCTATAATGTATTTGAATCGGCATCAAACTGAAGAATGGAAAGGATGGATGCAGGTAACTCATCTCGTGAAGTATTCACTAGCTGATAATCTATGATTTCTTGTCTCCTGATTTTTCCTGCATATGTTGGCATGAACTGACTTTATGTTGTACCTTTATCTTTCACCTATTGTTGTGAATAATGAATCTCCTCATGATACTAGTATGGGATTGGAAACTATTGGATAATAGTAAATGGCCTACACAACGACAAAACTTGGACATGCTTTCCCCCTGTGAGTATGTGAGCTCCCACGAAAAAGGTGGAAAGAAAATAAGGGTACTAGTGTAGGGCTGTAGGCACTAGGAGAGAATAGGATGTCCGCGCATGAACAAAGTGCTTCTCCAAGGGGGGCTTGTTTGAGTAAGGAAACACCGGAGCCATCTGAAGTATTTATGATGGCATAACTTATATCAGAAAAAAATTATGGCATAATTTAAAAATAAACCAATTCCCTTTGCATCTTAAAAATACTTGTTTCCTGTGTCATTGGAGAACCAGGCATTCTTTTGAATAACTTGGAGTCGGTGAAGGTATCCTTCTCATAAACATCTGGCAGTTTATTTTCTGTCTACAAGTTTCTGTTGCATCCGCCATACACTTCTGGATTCTCACAATTTAATTTCTTGTGACAGGTGTTATTTTTAATGTATCACTACTTTGCTGCCACAGAAATTTACAATGCTATACGAGTTTTTATAGCTGCATACGTATGGATGACTGGGTTCGGGAACTTCTCTTACTACTACATCCGCAAGGATTTCAGCATTGCAAGATTCGCTCAGGTAGTATCTGCCCATTGACTTTGCAGATCTTTTGTATTGAATTTTCCTTAATTGGCAGTGCTTCTGAAAGATCTAGTCTTTGATGGACAGATGATGTGGAGGCTTAACTTCTTGGTATTCTTTAGCTGTGTTATCCTTAACAACAATTACATGTTGTACTATATATGCCCCATGCACACTCTTTTTACACTGATGGTTTATGGGGCCCTTGGTATATTCAACAAATACAATGAAAATGGGACAATTATTGCCGTTAAATTCATTGTCTGCTTCTTGTTTGTTATTCTGATGTGGGAAGTTCCAGGAGTCTTTGAAGTGGTTTGGAGCCCATTTACTTTCTTCCTTGGTTCGTACCTTGAATCTTTTTTTTTCTTAGCAGTCACGACTGGTTACTAACACCTGTGTGTATGTATGTATTTTAGGATATGCTGACCCTGATCCTTCAAAACCAAAGCAGTCTCTCTTGCATGAATGGGAATTCCGTTCAGGCCTTGATCGTTACATCTGGATAATTGGGATGATATATGCATACTACCATCCAACAGTAGGTTTTCATTGAGAGCTTTATCAATTTTTACCTGTCATTCAGTCCACTTATGAACTTTTGCGACTGTCAGAGCAGAGCTGAGGATGTTGTCCGTTATCCTTTTCTGAAATTTCATCTCCTTTCCTTAACAATGTTAGTTGATAAATAATCCAAGTTTCATATGTCAGGTAGAGAAATGGATGGAGAAACTTGAGGAAACTGAAGTGAAACGTAGGATATCAATAAAAGCAGCTGTTGCCATAATGTCACTCACGGTACCTCCTCTCTTTTTCCGCTGTCTGAATTTTTCAAACTTCTCTCCCTTGTTTACTTACCATACAAATGTCAGATGGGATATCTTTGGTATGAGTACATATACAAGCTTCCGAAGGAGACATATAACAAATATCACCCTTACACATCTTGGATACCGATAACGTATGTCTTTTTTCCCCTTTACTTGATTGCTTAGTTATTTGGGTGTTTCTACTTCCACTAGTGAATAATGTCTTGCGTGTTCCCTTCTAATGTAAATTTTGCTGTTCTTATCTAACAGTGTCTACATATCCTTGCGGAATGTTACCCAATATTTTCGTAGCTACACGTTAACCCTTTTTGCGTAAGTAAATTTGCATTAGAAGTTCTTTTTTACAATTCATTTTTCATATGCTTGAGTTCAAGTAAAGGCATTGAAAGCCGGTAAATTCATGACAGACATATATAAATAGACACTAGATATTGGATTTTGGTTTATTACTTCAAGACAGATCACTTATTGCTTTGTTGACCTGCAGATGGCTTGGGAAGATCACTTTGGAGACTTATATATCGCAAATCCATATATGGTTAAGGTATGAGAGATGAATTAAAGGTTAATTTGTTTCTTGCACATCCATTACATGATTTTTAAGATAGTATGCTTCACTAGTTCTTATTGATTCGTGATACTTATTCCTTTCTCTGATATGTGTATAATGCCATCGGAAGACTAATGGAAGTTTCACTTTGGCTGTTTATTATGTGATGTTCCTCAAACTATGATCTTATTAGTAATTCACTTTGAGCTGGTTATGAAAAAAGATATTATAATAGGTATATGTCACCTCGGAATGCTGGAGTTGGCTTAACGTTTTGGCGTACTGACCACTAATTACAATGTGATTCTATGAAAACAAAGAAATCATAGTTAGTTCTGTTTCTCTTTTAAAAAAGATGAATTGTGACTATCAACAAATGTGTACATTTAACATAGAGGTAAATAAATGCAGATCTGGTGTGCCAGACGGACAGCCTAAAAAGTTGCTGTGTTTGATCCCCGGCTACCCATTGATGAACTTCATGCTTACCACTGCCATATATGTTGCAGTAAGTAGATTAATATCTTGTTCACTGCCTTCCGTGAGGAGAAAGAATGAAACACAACAAATCAGTTTCCTGTTTCTTTATATATGTGCAGGTTTCTCACAGATTATTTGAATTGACAAACACTTTGAAATCCACGTTTATTCCCATGAAAGAGGATAAACGTCTTGGCTACAACATAGTTGCGGCTTTAGTTGTATCAGGTCTTCTATATGTCTTGTCCTCAGTATTTCTAAGGGTACCTCAGATGCTGGTAAGTCATTCTCTTTAGTGTTTGCTTCAGCTTTTTCGTTTCTCAAGTGTTTCTTTAAGAATGATCAGAAATCTCAAAGAGAAAGCAAATGTATGGTTATAGAAAATTCCAAGTTGACATCTATCTAGTGAAAAGTGGAAGTTACTTTCTCTCATCTTTGAATTGAAAGAAAATCAATCTTTCTAATGAGTTTGTTTCTAATTTACAGGTGTAAATGGGTAACGTACATTATATGAAGGCAGATACAATTTGTGAGCCAACTACAACTGGCTATTGTTTCTTGTTTACATAATTAAACAGAGAGAGATACTCAACTGGATTATAGTTCTTAGTTTAGGATTCTTTGTATATACAGTCTGGCTCTTAAACTCAACTTTTGGATTGTGCAGTTTGTATTTTTCACATTTTGTAATGTAGACCTTCTAACTGCGAGGCCGATATACCAATTTACTTATCTATATTGTTCTACCTGAGTAATATATTTGAAAGGAAATTGTCATTTCATCCCATAAAAAAAGCTTGTATTTCTGCAGAAACCATCTTGCCTTACTTGCTGCTTCCCAGGCATGTCACCTAGTAAACTGCACACTTCCGTTTTGTATATTCCAAAACGCATTGGCATCAACAACGAAAGAACAAACAGGGACGTATAAATTGCATTCTGCTGAAAATCAAGGTGGAGCAGTTTCAAAGCCTGTACTGCAAGGCAAAGCCAACCTAAAGTCGGAACGTATAACTTGTATCAAGTAAAAGGCTCAACTGCAAGAACTTAAAACCTGAATAATTAGATTAGGCTCATCTATATCATTCAACAGTGGTTTGAATTGCGTTAACTGCTTGTACAATTACTCAAGCTTTTAAACTCAAAAATATAAGTCACCCAACAAAAATCTTTGGTCAAGATCAAAATGTTCTCAACTACTCCCAACTCAAAAATTTGAACCAGTGATTTGTTCTGCGATAATAATCTCCAGCAAGCTTAAAAGAAAGGAAATGTCATGAGTGCAAACTTTGAATACCACTACATTGAACTTGAAAATGTCTAGCATCTTCTTGATGTGCACGTAAGGTCTTCATCTCACACAGGATCCTCAGAATATATGCACAATGTCATATGCAAATCTTTCGTGTGTTAAGGAATTATAGGAATGTATTATAGGATAAAACACAAATGCAAGTTATGATATGTAGATGTACATAGAAATCACACAAGATATGCAAGGAAAATATTGGGACTGATTCTGCTAATTTATCTCTGAAAAAGATTTTTAAAAACTTGTTTTTGTTAAGTTTTTCAGAACTTTTTCCCGGAGGAACTGTCACCTTTTTGAGTTGAGAAGTCTTCTCTTAAAAGAAAACAAAAAGGATCGAGAACACTTAAAACACTTCCAAAAATCTTACAATTATGCATACATGTTTTTGATCCAAACAATTTTTTCCTCAACAAAAGCAGTTAGTTTAGGAGAGAGGATAATATGTTGACAGCTACTCTTAACCTGATGATATCTGTACATTCATTCCTATCTTGTTGCTATGATAGTAAAACTTGAAGAAATTGACAACAGACATACTTCTTGGGACAGGGGAAGAGGACAAAATAGTTCAGATAGTTTTATTTAGGGAGGGAAAAAATGCACAAGTCTATCTTTCATAAGACTACAACAGACAAGGATACGTCCAGAAGAGCACAAATGACTGCAAAGAAAAGAAACAATGTCAGTTAAGTGTCAAATTAAGGGTAGAAAGCTAGATTAACAACTTGAAATCATAATGTAGTGATAGTAAATTCCTCTCAGCAATCAAGCAGTGGAACTGTTATGTTGGATACTATATCAAAACTAAAAGGTAGTTCATAGGCTACAAACACCTAGAAATCAACCCCTTGTCCACAGATAGCCAGGAAACCTATTTCTTTATTAGTTGCCAAAAAAAAGACCTAAAAACAAACCCATCACCCTAAAATTAATCAAGAAGATCCACAGGAATACTGACAAACATGATTCTGATCAACAAAATCTCACCTACATTGATAATAAGTTCCAATAATTAAGTAACTTAAAGAGAAATTTGAATAAAGAAAGTTAAGATGATATGAAAAGAATTCATAACTGGAAAATGAATTGAGAATAAACTTCCATAAGGGTATTAAAGAAACAGGCAGAAAAAGCGAGGCAGGGTAGACAAATTAATCAGGGGTTCAAAAAAATATCACTCCCTCCGTTTTAATTTATTTGTCATGTTTTGACTTGGCAAGGAGTTTAAGAAAATAAAGAAGACTTTCAAATCTTGTGGTCTTAAATTAAAGATAGTCAAATGTAACAAAGTGCCCTTTAATCTTCTGGTCTTAAATATGCCATGCGGAAAGTTAATGTTAAAGAGTTACCAAAGAAGGAAAGAGATATTCTTGTTGAAACATACTAAAAAGGATAGGACTAACAAATTGAAATGGAGGGGGTATGATTTTGAACGGAAGTAATTGTTTTATAATATTCTATCCTTTTAACCTTGTGCAGGTGATTGAGCAGGGAGATGAATTATTTCTAGATGAAGGGTCAGAATAAATAAAGAACGTATGAAGAAGAGATCTTATTATGAATGTAAAGAAGTTACCATAAGACCGCCAAAAAATCCATCAAGCAAGACTCTGTTCCAGCTGTCAAAGTAGGAGTGGATTGAAAACTTGGCCTTTGCCGTGAGTGCAACTGAAGTTATTGCCATGACAAGGAAATAAAATATAAATCCTGTCAAGCTAGTAAGTCCCAGAATGCCGGCAATGACACCACCAATGATTGCCATGAATGTGCGGCTGAACAACAGAATGCTCAATGTAAATGGAGATATCCAATGACAAGGAAGAAAATCTACTAGCTTAGAAAGACGAAAAGAACCCATTTTCTTGTTAATATATGATTGATTGCCTGTCTCAATCATATTTTTATTTATCCTTCTGCTCCAACTCTGTGATCAAGTATTACATTTCTTTGTCGACAGTTGCAACACAGAGCTCAGATTTATTTGTTTATTTTTCCTTTTTTTAGATAAGTTTATGGAGCTTGGGGTTGCTTTGCTGTAGAGGCAAAATGACAAGGGTAGTCCCAGGACTTCCGCTAGCATTGGAAACAGGTATTAACTGTTCAATTACTCAAAAAGCTATTACTTTACTGATCAAAAAGAAATTATTCAAAACTACAACTAATTCATTAATTGTAAGTTTAAAAGGTTAAATTCGCCATTAATATGATTACAATCTGCAGTTCTTGGTTTAGGGCATTAGTTTGTTTAATTGGTGATTGAGGTACTTGTAGGACTTTACAGAGATAAAAAACGGATATAGGACTATACGTATCTCCTCTAGCAATTACAGGCAAGCATACAACTGTACCAAGGGCAAACACACTTTCTGTTTAAGGGCAAGGAGTAATAGTCTTGGGTGAAAGGAAGATAGGAAGAAATCAAGGACTGCAACCCAATTGGCCAAAATACATACTAATCATACCAATGTAGAAGTGTAATCCCACAGATGTAAAGAAGCTAGACTGAGGCTACTTAATGAGGTAAGTTATCTAATTAAACTTATACCATATTCTTTATTCTATATCCTAGTGACGTTCCACCGAAATGATGCCTCAGTGAAGGAGTTAAAGCTACATGAGTATATAATCCCTAATTTCAACCAGTTGTTCAGTTGGGCTAACATCAGTGTCACATAATTGAGGATGAAATTCACATCGATAGTCTGTATCAACCTACATCCAGACTTTATAAGAAAAATCAGCTAAATTGTTACTATCCAAAATCATCAAGGAACTATAATTTCAGTCCACCTAAATATGGTGTCAAACTCAAACCAACCTGTAAAGAATAACTTTCATGTTGTTTTGCATATTCTCAGCATTGAAAGTGGGCAAATCATCCATACCACTGGTCGACTTTTCTGTAGATCCGTTCGAGTTATCATGCCCAGCCATCGCGCCTTTTTGGAATTCTACAGCAAACATCAAAATAATAAGAATAGAGAAGTTGAGATGTAGATCGAGAATAGAACTTTGTGGTCACTCACTATCTCAGTTAGAAAGAAGATTGAATTCATCAACATAACAAAATAATTTACCCAAGATATCCTATAAGATAATGAAATACATAAACATTCAGATGTTCTTCCATGGATGTCATATCCAGTTCAATTCAAACTCTTCCCGTTACAATTGATTGATTCTATGATCATAACTAAGAAGTCGAATCATAGCCAGTTCGATTCAAACTACCTCAGTTGGTGGATTCAACCAACACAAGAGAAAATTGAAGTTTCTTCAAGGGCGGCTCAAAACCTCAAAATTACATATCTCAAATTCAGTTCGCTTAAATATGAACACACACTCCGAATCGCAAGCATCCACAGAAACAGTAAATATACATATACATACATAGACGGAAAGAGATAAAAAGAGACAAACCAAACAAATCTGATTAAGGCGATGGCGATGATTACTAATTGTGAGAGCACCGTAAGAAGCAATGGCAGAACGAACTCTGAGATTGAAGGACCAAAATATCCCTCGCTCAACCTCTAGCCTAGTCCTTATACTAAATAGAATATAAGTAAAAGCCTAAAATACTTGTAGTATTAAAAATGATATAAAATTATCATTCATCCATTTATTAACTTCAATATGCGCTTTTCATTTATTTGTTGGCTCTAAAATATCCTTCTCATCCAACTTTGACATCTTTGGGTTCAAAATTAAAATTAAACTTTTTATATATTTTATTAAAATACTTGACGTTCGACTATTGATTACAATTTGATTTATTAATATAATTTATAAATCAAATCACTACCCACTCATTACTAACTAAACCCCACCGAATTAGTAATCCAATTATAATATCAAAATCGTTATAACACTACTAAAACACGACGAAATTATAGATTCCTGAAAATGACATTCAAAATTATTCGAGTCCGTATCGAATTAAGAGGATACTTTCAATAGAATTCTCTTTCAAGATTGAATTAGAAATTTATGATTAAAGGTAAAAAAGCAATGCATCCCCAATTAATTCATGCACTATTTTTAAATATAATTTTATAAATATTTATGATTTGTTTTAAAACCTTTAATATATTATTTTGAAAAAAAGTTACCTATGAAGTAACATCACATAATTGAGACGTAAAAATTATTAAGATGAACATAGTCATACTTTTAAGTTTATCGATAATTTTTATTTAGACACTTGAATGTATAATAATTTACTTCTATAGATATTTTCGCCTAAATTTTTTAAAAAACACTCAGTTGGCAGTAGCTGTTCTATTGTTGCATTAATAATGTGACGGGTTTATTAATTTAGAGGAGTTTAATTAGTAATGGGTGGGTAGTGGATTGATTTATAAATTATACTAATAAGTTAAATTATAACAAATAGTTGAGCGCCACATATTTAAAAAAATATTTAAATAGTTTAAATATAAAACCGTTAAATAAGTGGTCAATTTTGAACCAAAAGGTGGATGACAAGGGTATTTTGGACCCAATAGGTGGGTGAGAGGGTATTTTAGAGCCAATAGATGGATGGAGGGTAATTTTGTACCATTTCCAATACTTTAAGGGTATTTTAGGCCCTTTTCTGTAGAGTATAAATAACTAGGTAAATTACGCGGGGTTCGCGCAATGGTATACTTAACAATAATCTACTTCTGAAAATTTTATAGTATAAGTGTTTTTAAGAGGTTACATTCCTACAACAACTTATCACGAATATTTCATCCAAAGAAGAAATAAAATATTTTTTAATCTTAAAACGAAAAAAATTTGATTCTAAGTGTTCATGAATTTTATTATTAATTCTTCATTTTACTATAGTTGTTCATCACCAAACTTTTTAGAAAAGATATGTAATTGTTTCATTTTTTGTATTTATATTTTCAAAAAGTGATACAAACATTTTATTAATTAGTTACAAGAATCGCGCAACTGTTTACTTAGTCAATAATCTACTTCTGAAGATTTTTTAGTACAAGTGTTTTCAAGAGGTTACATTCCGACAACAACTTATCACGAATATTTTATCCAAAGAAGAAATAAAATATTTTTTAATCTTAAAACGAAAAAAATTTGATTCTAAGTGTTCATGAATTTTATTATTAATTCTTCATTTTACTATAGTTGTTCATCACCAAACTCTTTAGAAAAGATATGTAATTGTTTCATTGTTTATATTTATATTTTCAAAAAGTGATACAAACATTTTATTAATTAGTTGCAAGAGTTTTTCTCCTATTGAAGGTCTCAACGTGCAAAATTTAAATATTATACTTCTTATAAAATTAGTTTTTTACTTGATAAGTTAATAAAAATATAAAAACACATCTCTTGGAGATCAATGAAATAACGCATGTTGCTCAAATAATAAGTCTCTTATTCAAAATCATACTCATCCAACGACACTACTTAGACAGACAAAAGATATATTTTATTATTTATGTTTCGATCAATATGATTAAAAATTTGGGACTTTTAATCTAAAGTTTATAAGGAGATAATAATTTCTTTACTATTTGATTAATATAGATTTATCCTACTTTGAGAGGTAATTCATTAAATCCAACCCAACATTTACCCCAAACAGTTGATTATGGTTGAGTACAATAGTTATCATCCCACTACAAACCTTTATTTTTTGGAAGTTACTAATCGATTGAAAGCACATTAAATCCAACCCAACATTTACCCCAAACAGTTGATTATGGTTGAGTACAATAGTTATCATCCCACTACAAACCTTTATTTTTTGGAAGTTACTAATCGATTGAAAGCACCGATAAGATAGAAAGTTTAAAAAATAAAAATCCAAGGTAATGGACATTATTCCCTTAAGGAAATTATTTCATTCTAGTACCCGAGGTTTAAAGGAAATAGATCCTCTCAGGACAAAACGATTCTATTCACCACTGTATTGATAAAAAAATAATGGTGTCAACAAGTCACTCAACAGGAGAAAAGTACACGAATATTTATTGTGCAGAAGAAGATGTGCAGAATTTTCATTGTTTTAAAATAACAGAAAATCACTCTATTTATAAACAACAAAGGGTAGTATAAATAAACACTTATTGTGTCTTATCGGAAAGGTCACAACTTTTTGTAAAAGTCACAATCTTTCATAAAAGTCACATTTTCTTTTATAAAAGTTGCAACCTACATAGAAGCCACAACTCTTCACTAAAGTTGCAACTCTTCATAAAAGTCGCAACTCTTCGTAAAATTCGCAACATTTCATGAAAAGCCACAACTTTTTTTAAGAGTTGCGACTTTTCATAAAGTCACGACTTTTCATAAAAGGGGAGGCTAATTTTGGAAATAAATAAGTTAAGAGAGAATTTTGGTTTGTGGTGGCGCCACATAGGTGAAACTAGAGTCTAAAGAGGTTGTTTTGAGTTAATGTAAGATTTAAATGACGTAAAATGGTTATTCCCGTTAAGTTGAGGAGTTTGGAAGTTAAACGTCAAGAAACGATTGTAACGCCCGAAAACTAGTAAGTTGAACTAGTGTGTTGTAGATTCTTGTAGTTGACTTTTGGAGTATCGTATGAGGGTTAAAATCAAGATAAATGTTTCCTATACTTAGATGGGTTTAATTAGGGGTTAAACATCTGGGTACGATCCCCCAAGGACCACCGAAGAAGGTCCTTGAGGAGGATCCCACAAATAGTCCCCAAAACTGTCAACTTTGGTGACCTACGGTTGCGATCTACGTTCATTAGATCAACCTACGCCCGTAGGTCATAGGCGTAGATTATCCCTGCAAATCCCTGCAAAAAATGAATCTCTGATCAAACCACGAGACCAAACTACGAACAATATAGCAATCTGCTGTACGTAGATGGCCAAACGTAGATGCTGCTAGTTTTCAACATTTTAGTTTTAAGTTAGAAGTTAGGGGTTGTGTTAGTTATTAATTAGGCATTAATGTAGTTTGGTTAATAGGTTATTTAACCACTTAAATAATCTTAAATACACCCTAAACTAATCATACTTACTAACTCATCTAAAGACCCTAAAACTCTCTCCAAAAATCATCTCTATAGAATTGAAGAAGAAGAAGAAGAGAGGAAAACATCTAGGTCAATTCTCCATTGAATTAAAGCTTGGTTTAGGGTATTAATTGAAGGTATGTGAAACTTATTCATCCATGGATTCTTCCACCCATGGATCCCACATAGTTTTCCTCAATGGTGAATCAAAATCAAATTTTAGCTAGGGTTGTGATTACATTGTGGGTAAGGCTTGATTGTGACTCAACTCTAGTGGATAACATTCAATTATGTTTAAGTTATGTTTGTTTTATGATCATATGATGTTTTTATGTGAATTCCATGATGAACCCTAATCTAAGTTGATGAATGCATTCTTTTATCATATCAAAACCTTCCCCACAGATTTCACGACCCGAGTCTACACCCTCGATGTGGTCGTTACTCAAAGACCTTTGTTGATCCCCAAGCGAACCTCATCCTGGATGACTACAAGAGAAAGACTAACTCAAACATGTAAAACATAAAAACTGAATAAAAATCATGAAACTTAATACAAATATTTAACTCAAAAGAAAACTCTGAATAAAAATCAATTATTCAAATCCCCATAAAAAAAGAAACTTAACACTTAAAAAATATTTAATAACATAAATGAATAGACTTTTGAAACTCTACAATCGATCTATAAAACATTTAAATGAGAAGGATGAAAGTCAGGACAAGACCCATGACCTTCTAAAAGCTAATATAATTGAAAATAAAAGTGCAACACTATGGAATCAAGGATGCTCACCATAGATAGCTCGAACTCCTAGTGGTATCAATGAAGATCCTATTGATGATCCCAATTACCTAAATATGCATCATGAAAGGATGCAGACCATATAGTTGACTACGTGGAATGTACGAGCATGGAAGGATAATTCTAAAGCATAGCATAAACTTGAACTTGATAAAAAGAAACACACTTACCTCATCTCAACTCACTCAACTCAACTCAACTCAGGAATAAGATACTCAATTGAAAGATAAAATATTCAACTTAGTGAAATAAGGCTTAACGCAAGAATAAGACACTCGTCTCTTGGTAATCAAACTCTGGATACTCAATTCAGGATACTCAACTATTGATACTTAACTCAACAGAAAGCAATAATAAGAGATGCAATATATGGGAAGCTTTTAAAACAATGGAAAACAATACAATGTATTTAAGAATACATTATATTCAATTTGTATGCAAGGATACAATATAAATTTTATTTGTATATAAAAATACAAGTACACTTTGTGTATATAAAGATACTAATATCTCGGTTGGAGTTACTCTAACTAACAACCATATAATATTTTGAAGAAAATTCAACTTCACTTTTACTTTACTCAACTCAATGCTCAAATCTTAAAACAAAGTTGAAACGTTTGTAAAAAACTTCTTAAAATATGGTTCATGCCGAATTATAGAAGTGAATTACTCAATGCAAGGTTTTGAATAGCCATAGACAGAAATTAATACTTGGAACTCAAGAACAATCATA